AGAACTTCTTCCCTCTGAGGGTGCCGGAGCCCTGGCCCAGGCTGCCCAGGGAGGCTGGGGAGTCTCCTTCTCTGGAGATATTCCAGACCCGCCTGGCCGCGGTGCTGTGCAGCCTGCTCTGGGTGACCCTGCTTGGGCAGGGGGTTGGGTGGGGGGTCCCCAGAGGTCCCTGTCAACCCCCACCATGCCGTCATTCTGTGGTGGGCAGGGGGGCTCGCTCCTGGAGACAGACCCTTGCCAGAGCGTGTCGTGGGAGGTCGGGGGAGAGAAGTGCTGCTCCCCTGCTCCGTTTGCTCGCGCCGGCTGACGCAGCCTCGCGATACCTCGAGGAGCGTTGCTGCCGCTGGAAGGAGCGCGGCCGCTCGCGGGAGAGCCCGCACACCTCGGGAGAGCTGGGGCGCGGAAGCTTTCCTGCAGCGTTAGCAAACTTGGGGCCGATTGCTGCTGCGAGAGGAGACTTCCATGGGTTGGGGTGGCTTGGCGTCCCGGCTCTGATCCCCCAGATTACAGGAGGCCAAATTCGCATTTCTGCGCCCGACTGGAGGTCTCTGTAGCGCTGGAGAGAGGCACGGCCTCGTTAGCGCTCGCTCGGTGCGTGCTGGAGGACAGCAGCCGTTGGGGGGCCGGGGCGCAGGGGCAGCGTCTCCTCGGAGCGCTGGCAGAACGGCTGGGTACGCTGCTGCCAGCTTACTGGGGATGGAGAACTGTCCCCCCTGTGCAGAGCGTTCCGGTCCTACAGAAAGGTGACCCGCACGGCGAGCCAAGGCCGGGCCTCCCAAACCAGGCAGTCTTCTCTGGTATTTGTGGAACGCTGCGAAGGGGCAGCGTGGAGTCTCCAGCCCGTGGGGTGCCGTGGGTATGGTGAGTAGCGGCGCGCTTCCTTCCGCGGCTTCGGTTACCTGTGACCTTCTCTGCGCTCAGGTGTGCCGGAGCGAGGGGAGCTTTTCCTCCTTTGACTTTCTGGAAGACAACGCCTGCACTGCCATAGTGGGACAGTGGGAAGGTGACGTCGCCATTGTGGACAGACGGACGCCGGGAACGTCTCCAGAGCTGTCCGCAGACATCGGCTTCCAGAAGACGAGGACAGTCCACGTCCACCCCGCGAATAAACAGTATTTCGTTGCTGCTGGCGCAGGGCAGGTGGCTCGGCCCGGACGCTCCGGCGC